AAGCCTAGTTATCTAAAATTCCTCATTGTGAGTTTGCATCAAGAACAAAAAACATTTAGGGAAAGATTTTTTTAAAAAAAAATGAGTTACCTGGCATAGTTTTAAATCTAGCAAGAAATGGAGACCAGAGGAAAGGATCTGGAGGAAAATGAAGCTGATAAGCAGGAATGGTGGATGTAGCAACACACCAGGCTGCAGAACGCCCTCCAAAAGCAGTGGAAAGATAATCTTTGCAAAAAAGCTTTGCCACAGCAGAAGATGACTGCTGAACAATTCTCCATAAATCTCAGACTGCTGTGGAAGTGCAGTGATATCCCAAACACAGGAATCTTCTTAGGCTGGAGAGACAGGGCAAAGAAAACAGCCACACTCCAAAAGAACCTTAAAATATTTCCTGTGCTGACTATCACAAGAACAAACAGCAGCAGAGAGCTGTGCAGCCGTGTTCCCAGAAAGGAGAGCCCTCCTGGAGAGGCTGGCCTGCTCCAGGGGCACCAGCAGCCTCTCCAGCAGAAATTCCAGCCCTGGCAGGACCAGGCTGGCAGCACACGTGTGCCCAGGCAGGTGACAGCTCAGGTTATGGGCACGAGCACTCTCACACATGTGGGTGCACAAGAGGAATGCCTGGGCTGCAAAGGCATTTCCTCAGCACGAAAACACCGCAGGAATTCCTCTCCTGCCTCAAACAGCATCACTCCTGCACCAAGCCCATCCAGCCCCGGCTCCTTCTGGCCCATCCCACCACCAGAGACAGAACTGTGACCCCAGAGCCATGTCCTGAGGTTCAGAGAGGCTCTGCCACCCTGGCAGCAGCTATTTTTGGGGATCTCTCTGGTTGCTAGGGCCAACTCCCAGCCATCAGCACCATCCTCCAGGCAGGGTCTGGTGTGCCAGTCAGGAGAGGGGGAAGGAGTTGAGAGGAGGGATGAGTAAGCAGGGGAACGTGAGAAACCAAACAAAATGCCAGCCTGAGGAGAAATACATGGTCACAGCTTCCACCAGCGCTCAGCTGAACTCCTACATGAAACAAGCCTGGCTGGATTGAGCCAACAGAGCCCAGACCAGCTTGGAAGCCATTTCCAAAGGCTGCACGAGGTCTCCTGCTGCCCCCCAGGCAGGATGAACTCCATCCAAGCACCAGCTCTGAGCCAGAGCATGTGTTCATACAGCTCTCCTGGACTGCTGCTCCTGGTGCTTTGCACTGGGGAGCCAGCAAGGCAGACAGAAAGGAAGCACTTAGCCCTCAATTGCACACCAAGTCTCCTGCAAAATTAGGAAATTGCTCCAGATGCTCAAAACCCCAGAAATAACTGATGGATCTGGTTTCTAGGAGCTGTATGCATGGACAGCTTCTCATTTTCAAAATTACTGGAGCCTTGGTCTACACCAGCCTCTTACACATCTGGATAGTCTTACATAGTTTACAAAAGACCATGACAGTTTTCTATCCATTTCTATCTCTTATTTTGAGATTTCAGCTCAAAAAACACCTTTAGAAAGTTACCAGGGCAAAGGTGGTAGAGAGAGAACAAAACTGGGGGGGCATAAACTCTGTTCCCTTTTTTCCACAAACAGTGAAGAGACTCATACAAATAATCTCTTAGGCTTCTAAATAACTCAGTTTTGAAAAATGGGGTTTAAACACCACTGAAACCTAAGACCCTAAAGAGAAAAACATATGTGCACATGGACTTAGGAAAGCAAACAGCTTTTCAAAACAGATCTCTTCTGACACACTCCTAAAGGAAGTGTTTTTTATTTAAATCATCATCAGCTGAAGGGCAGGAGAAGGACTCCAGCACATGTCAGCAAGAACTCCCACTCCACATAGGCAAAAACATTGGCACAAAAGTAAACTAATCACTTCCTAAGCTGCTAAGATGCCATTATAAATTACTATATATATATATATATATGTCCATGTGATACTTGTACAGGAACATATCACAGTTTAGAGCTTTTTTAAAATAACTTCAGGAGAGAATTTGGTCATAGGACAACACCCTGGTATAGAAAAGACTGAAGAGGAAGACATGCTCTAATCCAAGTGAAATCCCCCCAGTCAGGAGACCTAGCCTTATTGACAGAGATCCTTGAAGGTCTTTTCCAGCCTTGATGGTTCTGTGACTCCCTTCTCCACCTGCCATTAGAGGAAATACAGCCTAACAGCCACTGGGAAGGAAGTTGCCTGTAGCATGACTAGGATGCTCTTGTGGTTACAAGTTTCCTGGAGCACCAGGAGGCTCATGGGGAGGACACAGAATTCACGGGACCAGGAGCTCTGAAATATTTTGGGTGAGATACATGCACGGGCTCACCCCATCCCATGACAAGCCTGTGAGGCTTTAATCTGCCTCAGATCTATACAAACAGAGATCATAGAAACAAGTGCCTACAGAAGCCTGGGAAAGAGGAATTCTGCTATCAGCTTCATGCTGGAGAGGAGGGAGGAGATGGAAGAGGGAAGCCAAGGAACCCCGCTCAGCATCCCAGCTGGATGTGAACAGGCCTATTCTGGGTCACCAGGACCACAAATCCCTCTGCAGCAGCTTGGGCCCGTGTCAGGCAGCACAGGCACCTGGGGCCCAGCTTCTCCAAGCTGCCAAGGGAGCTGCTCCGTGCTGCAGAGCAGCCCCAGCGCTGCGGGGACACAGCTGCCCCTGGCTCACCCCAGGCGCTGCCTGCGCCTCTGCAAGAGCGCTGCAGTGGATGGAAAGGTCAGCCTGAGCTGCTGCATTTGTGTTTCCAGCCCTCCCCCCTGAGCTGCAGAGTTTCTAAATTAATCTGGGTCTTTGGGCCTGTTGGCTTTTATTGCTGTTTCTTAGGGCACGGCCCACACGGCTGAAATCCCCAGACAAGTTCACTGAGTGCTTTTTGCAGCTCGCCTTTGCCCTCACTCATCGTGGCATGCTCCCTTAAGTATCTCCTAAAAACCCAGGGAAGGAAATGTGCTCAGTGTCCTCCTCAGTCCCCGCTCCCTGGAACGTTTCCATCAGGACTGGCCGCCTGCTCCCCCCGGGAACAGCCCTGCTTTGTGGGATTGTGCTCCGTGGGTCACACCAGGGGTCAGCCTGCACCAATCCCCCCCTCCCCAAATCCTGACCTCCCGACTTGAGCATGCCAGAGGGCAAGAACTCCTGTTTCTGTGCAACAAGGCGTTGTTAAAGGGAAAATTCCTCATTTTTTTTTCTTTTCATTTTTTTTCTACATCCTTTACAAGTCTGGGAGAATTGGGATCGTTCAGCCTGCACAAGAGAAGGCTTTGGGGTGACCTAATTGCAGCCCTCCAGGACCTGAAGGAGCTGCAGGAAAGATGGAGAGAGACTGCTTAAAAGTGCCTGGAGTGCCAGGACACAGGGAATGGCTTCCCACTGCAAGAGGGCAGAGCTAGGGGGGATATTGGGAAGGAATTGTTCCCTGGGAGGGTGGGCAGGCCCTGGCACAGGGTGCCCAGAGCAGCTGGGGCTGCCCCTGGATCCCTGGGAGTGTCCAAGGCCAGGTTGGAGCATCCTGGGATAGTGAGAGGTGTCCCTGCCCATGGCAGGAGATGGCACTGGATGGGCTTCAAGGCCCCTTCATACCCAAGGCACTCTGTGACTCTGTGATCTGTGTGTTTATTGCCCCACAGCAGAAATCACCCTACACCCACCAAGACCAGGCAGGAATTTACTGAGCCCACTCAGACACTGCAGGGACTGAGCCAAAGCCTGCAAACCTGCTCTGGCCATCTCACCACAACAGAACCCCTGCCCTAAGTCCAGTTTCCCTTAAGTACAGGAGGGGACATAAGGAATTAGTAAGAAAAAGGCATTTAACTAATAACTGGAATCTCTGTGTTAAACTAATCAGGGCACTGCACTGGGGCAAGAGAACACGGTCAGCACCCAGACATAACCCACCGTGCCCTCCTGCTAGGATCAGCTGCTCAGATTGAACAGCCCACATCTGTCACTGCTGGCAATTCTGCAACTGGAAACTCTCAGAGAGGGCTGATTAATAGCCACACTGGAATTTCCACGGCTTAGCTTTACACTGGCAGATTCATAGCGAGGGAAACCGTGAGGGAAAACCAGGCAACAGGGGAATGGGGGCAGGAGAAAGAAGCTCCTCTCAGACATGCCCAGGGCAAGGAGAATCAATCCCTTTCCAGAGAGGCTTCAGCTTTAGCAGAAACAAAGTGGGCCTCCACTTTCAATCTCAGGAAAGGCTGCAGGTGAGAACTGATGCAGTAGCATCCCCCAGAGAGCCCTGAGGTCACACAGCACTGCAGAGACCACCATAGCCACAGCAAAGCCACCCATCCTCCTTCCACCTCTTCTCCTCCAAAACAGAAGGGTGGGGGCTATGCAGCAGCTCCAGCACCGCTTCCTCCCTCCTCCTGCACATCCCTGGCACCACAGGTAGGGACCAGCAGCCTTTACATGGCCAGACTGCCAGGAGACAACTCTGCCCCACCAAAGCACACAAGCAGGCCCAAGGACATGCACCTGAATGGGTATGGGGCAGTGCCAGCCACGGGAAAATCTCAAATCCCCCATAGAAGAGCAAGCCCAGCACTGGCCTAGGGCTCAGGGACACACTGGAGAAACCCCCTCCTTGCAAACTGTCCTTGGAAATATGCTGTGGCCAAGCCCCAGGCATCCAAACCACGAGGTCTTCTTCACACCTGGGCTTTTCTGAGGGTTTTTTTTAGTGTTTCTTTTTTTTAACTGCTACTGGGTCCATGTGACCAATTTTGAGCATGTGAGACTTAAATCCTCATGACAGAAGAGGCAGAGAAAAGGGAGGGATGTGTGGTGGGACACACATGATGCCACAACAGACACCCACATATTTAAACTATAAAAACCTCAGAGGAAGGATAGCACAGAAGTTTTGTCCCAGAAGAAGCAAAGCCTTAATCTTCTTCCTTCTTGAAAACACCTCAGTCACTGAGAAAGAAAAAAAAAATCAGAGAAGAGTGGGCATTTCATTTGTAAGTACATGTCATTTGTACTTACCTTGTCAAGATCTCTCGTTTTCCAGAGGTCTAACAGCTCCTAGGCGAGCACAGCAGCTCCACAGGGACAGGGTTTGACAGCGCTGTCTGCAGAGATCCCTAGAGAGCACAGGGGCTGAGTTTTCCCTCTGGGCAGTCCCATTGACAACAGATTTCGGCCTTCACGGTTCCTCCACTTGGTGTCTGGGCAGCAGAAGGCTCTGGAGAGAGGAGACACACAGGGGATCCTCGGAGAGCTGCCTTCACAGAGAGCCAACGCAAACCCGTGGGGTTTGTGCAGCTCGTGGCCAGTGCTCAGCTATGCAGGAGAGCTCCCAGGGAGCTGCAAGGAGCTGCTTGGTCTGGGGCACAGAGCCCATGTTTGAAGGAGAGCTGCTCACAGGCAAATATCTGAGCTGCACTCAAGGCTCTCCATTGCCATGCGCTCCCCAGGAGAGGCCAGTCCCACCCAGAGGCTCCAGCACGCTCCCAAACAAAGGCACTTGGAATCGTTCCTCCCTACAGCTAGGGGCAGGTGAAATGAAGGAGTGCACCCACCACTGTAGGGTTGGGATGAGATCCCTAAGGAAGCACAGAGGCTCAGCAGCTGCCAGCCCACATCAGCTCCAGAGCCGCAGAGCCTCTGGGACCAGCCCCAGTCCTGCAGAGTGGAGTGCCCCAGTAATCCAATTAGGCTGTCTGCAGACATAAACCAAAAGGAAAGGAGGGGGGAAAAGGAACAAGAGTGTATCCTCAGTACTGGCCCAAGCTGCAGCTCCAGCAGGAGCCCAGCTGGGAGCCAGAGCCTGGGAGAGCCCAGCCTGGAGCCCTGGCACCAAGCACAGGGGCTGCCCAAAGCCCAGGTGTGAGGAGACAGCCCTTCCTAACCAGCCTGCTCAGGAAAGCTTGGAATGGTGACTCCAGCCTGTTCCAGCTGCTTCCCTGCTTCTGTCACACAGCATTCAGCCACTGCCAGGTATTCTCTGAGGAGGGCAGTACCCAGAAACCACATGGTGGCAAATGGGACATGGAGAGGGATGTAACTCGGTGATCCTCACAGCTCCCTCCCATCTCCAGATATTCCATGATTCTGCAATCATTCCTTCTGAAGGCAGCTGGGTGGCTGAGGCTGCTCCTCGGAGCCCTCCCTCACAGTGCCTGTTCCCTTTTGTCCATCCCACCAGGTGCCCAACTCCAAAGATTATCCATCCCACATGTGCCTCACATCAAACACAAACATGAACAAGTCCAGGAGAAAGCACCCATCCAGCTTTAAAGGTCAGAGCCCCCGGAAAGAGAAGGGAAGAGCAATTTGGGGAAACCCCACCATGGAAAACGGGAGATTTCTGGGCAAAACAAGTGTTTGGCTGCCAGTGGTTTTCACATGCCTAAGAAATGAGCATGGCCAAAATGCTAAAAACATGTTTTAGGAAGCTTCCTAGCTGGACTCTGGCTTCTGCAGAGACAGGAGGTCGTGACAGATCCAAACCCAGAGCAGGAGCTTGCAGCCACCAATGGGTTTGTTTGTGGGTGTAAAAGCTCAAAAGCACAAAACCATCACCTCAGCCCCCATGCTGGAAGCCAAGACACCATTATCTGGGAGCCGGGAAAAAAATAAAATTAAATAAATATAAATAAATATAAATTATAAATGCCATTGCTCTGGAAAATTAAAATTCTTAATAGGAAAGTAAACATAAGGCTCATTCTAGCTGATGATAACTATCAGCATGTCAGGGATTTCATGGTTTCTCCATTACTAAAACAAAAGCATCTTGCTTGAACTGCAGGAGTTAAAAATGCAGAACATCCCGACTTCCCAGAGATAATTCTGCAAACAAGGAGTGACAAGGATGCACTTCCACCGCTGATTTCTTCCATGAATAACTTTATCAGCACTTTCACTCCGCAGGGAGATCCAGATGTTTCATCAAGATGGATTTACAATGTGAGATCCGGGTTTGAAAGCACAACATGCTGAGGAGCTGGCCATCAACCTCTTGCTTAAAAAGCTCCTTCTCCTGAGTATTACCCAAAGGGATCTTGTCACACAAACGAAGAGGAGGCACCAGTGACGTCTCTGCCAGGCTGCCAACCCCTGTGTGAGCGTGGCCAGCAGCTGCACAGGCCCAGGGAGCCACCAAATCCTCAGCAAACACAACATTTTTGTACCCTCTCCACGGACGATTAGCAACAGAGCCCGAAATGTCAAAACCCGACTCTTAATTACAGAAGTTGGCACTTAATGACTCCAATTACAATTTCCACTGATTTCTGAAAATTGGATTCTCCACTACAGTTACTGTGTTTAAATGAGTTTCTTACCTCGTTCATGGTAATTATACTCTGACAAACTAATTTAAAATACAGTAGAGATTTCTAAAATACTACTTAAAAATGGTGGGGATTTAAGAACAAAACATTGCTTAAGCCTCTCCCTTTCCACATTTTTTAATCCCATTCCTTTCAGGACCCAAGAATGCAGAAGGTTAAAAATGAGAGATACTAAGGACAGTATTTTGTCAAAATGCCATTGAAAGGGTATTTTACAAGTAGGAAACAGTTTTGTTTCTGTGATAGAAACTCACTGTCTTTTCCTCCCGTATCACAGAAACTGACTTCTCCTTTTATCCCAAATCCCCCCAGAAGCTGCTCTTCTCAGGTTCACCATCAGCAGAGCCCCAGAGGAGCCCAGCAAGAAGGAGATTCATTGGGAAGGGATAAATCCCTGTCTGAGGCACAGCTAACAGCTCTGTCTCTGCCCTGCATGCTGACACCTACCACCAAACCTGCCTGGGGGTGAGCCTGGCTCCTGCAGGATGCAGCTGCACACCCCTGGCAATGCCTCCTCTGGATTTGGGAATTGTTTTCAAGCTCCTGCTCATAATCAGTAGAAGAAATGGAAAAGCGCACACAGTCCATTTCAAGAAACAAAGCCACCAACAGAAAGAACACATTAAAATGTGATATTTTAGGGCTTGTATGATACAGAGTGCAGCGATTTCTCCAGAGCCTGCCTCTTCCAGGCATTATCTCCTGATAAAACAGAAGGAAAAGCCAGTAACATCCCTGATCCCTTGGCCAACCTCAGAAGTCAGAGATGCAAAGCACAGAGCCCAGAGTGGCAGGAGCCGTGGCACAGCCAAGGGGGCTGTGCCAGATAATCCCATCACAGGAGTGAGCGCCAGCACGGGACAAATTCATCCTGATCCCTGATCCAGAGCTGGCAGGGACACAGCATAAGCCACCTGAGGGGAAGGTGCAAGCAGGGTTTCAGTTTCTGAGGGATCACAACTGCCCCAAAGGAGGGGTGATGATTCTAGAGGGACACTGGGGTGCCACCCTCCAGTTCCTCACAGGGACACAAGGCAGAGGAGCACGGAGCAAACCTGCTGCACATGTTCCCTGTGCACAGAGTTAATTCAGGAGGACACGGACACACAGGCTCACGCTCCCACTCTGGCACAGGGACAGAATGTGCCCCTGGCACAGCTGCTCCATGCAGTGATACCTTTTCATTCCACTCGTTTCTGCTTTATTTTCTTTCACAGATACCCATTACTCAGCAGTGGTTGTAGGATTTTATGTTCACATATGGTTTAAAGAGGTGGCTGTTTAATGTTCCCTATATGTAAATAACTACATGCTGCTCCAGCCCCTGCTGAGCAAGTGAAGGAATGATTAGATTATAAATCTCCAGCACAGAAACATGCCAGGTTGCTTTTTATCTACAAACACATTAGAGCTTACACTGAGTTACATTTGCTATCTTCCCTTTTACCCACAAATTCCCATTGCTTTTAATGAGCGTATAAAGCAACCAGCAACAGGAAAAATTATCCCAGAAAGCAGGAGCCCAGGGGAGCAGCCAGTACCCTCAGCCATCCCTCTGCCTGAGGCAGGGTTTTCACCAGCACAGTGCCAAGCTGAATCCAGAATGTCACTTCCAGGGGTTGTGCTGTGGGTGCCTGGGAGCCCCATGGCAGAGTGGGGAGCAGCAGCCCTGAGCCCTGGGCTGGCACTGCTGGCCACCTCGAGGGCTGCCTCCAGGTCTGGGCTTCTCACTCCAGGAGAGACCTGCAGGGGCTGGAGTGTCCAGGGTAGGGAATGGAGCTGGGGAAGGGGCTGGAGCCCCAGGGGAGGCTGAGGGAGCTGGGAAAGGGGCTGGAGCCCCAGGAGGGGCTGAGGGAGCTGGGAAAGGGGCTCAGCCTGGAGAAAAGGAGGCTCAGGGGACCCTTCTGGCTCTGCACAACTCCCTGACAGGAGGAGACAGCCGAGGGGGAACAGGAGGACAGGGAATGGCCTCAGGCTGGGCCAGGTTGGACATCAGCAGGAATTTCCTCATGGAAAGGGGTTTTACACTGTGGCAGGGGCTGCCCAGGGAGGTTTGGAGTCCCCATCCCTGGAGGTGCACAAGGAAGGGCTGGAGGTGGCACTCAGTGCTCTGGGCTGGGGACAGGGTGGGCATCGGGCACAGCTGGGACTCAATAGGCTCAGAGGTCTTTTCCAGCCTCAGTGACTCTGTGATTCCACCTGGGGAAAGGCCCCATGGGATAACATAGCAACTCCTGCCACCCTCCACACTGGTGCCCCTCAGGAGTAGGAGTCACTGCAGCCGGCTGCACCTCCATCCAAAGCCAGCCATGGAAAAACCAAGGAATCACAGAATGGAATCACAAAATGCAAGAGACCTTTAAGCCCAGCCAGTTCCAGCCCCTGCTATGGGCAGGAACACCTCCCAGCAGCCCAGGTGGCTCAGCAGCGCAGCACAGCATGGCAGGAGCCAGGAGGGCAAACACCTGCATTTCAAATGACTCTGCTTTTCCTGTAGTTGTGGCATAACCCCGGCGCTGCTGCTGGAAACCAAAACACGTTTTTCAGCGTAATTTATCATCTATTTCACATGGCTGACAGTATTCATTTCAAACCAGAGCTTCCAGGCCAAGCACATTAAAACCATTTCTATTTTTCAGGAGTGAATGCCACGAGGGCCAGGAGCAACATTAACATACCCACTCACATTTCCAGCCTGTCCGGTATCAGAAACCAGCACGGAGAGAATAATCTTTTGAACTTTCCAAGGTGGAGAAACACTCTTTAAATAAAGAGGAGATACACAAATCCTTGCTCAGCTGGTCTCCCTTCCTTGCTGAGCCATAAAAGACCACAGGGAACACCCCTGATACTCCTAGGCCATGCAGAGCAAGGAAAGCAAAGCAGAGAGCTCTCCCTGCACCCCGGGA